TGTCTAACGGTTAAAAATACTACTAATATTCGAATAAAGAGCAGCGTGGCAAAGAGGTCACCTTAAAACCAAAAAAATAAAAAATAAAAAATTTATTTACAATAACAAAATAATAAAAAAAAAGTAAAGTTATTAATTTGTTACACTGGTTTGTTAGGCGAAGTGAACGTTTTAAAGTGCTACTAGAACTAAACTTGGAGTCTAAAGCCAATCCTTGCACTTGTACTGCATTTGGTTTTCTAAATGTTAAGGTCCTTGCACTTCCACTGCATCTACAGAGCCTAACTGGTAAGGCCCTTGCACTGCTACTGCAGCAAGGTCTTTGCAGTCGTGCAGTCTGATTTTACTTACCAATAACGCTGAAACATTGAAACGCTAAAACGTTGAAACATTGAAACGTTGATACATTGAAACGCTGAAATGCTCAAACTCGAAAATTTTTACTAAATAAGGGGAACGTCTAAAGCCGTGTCCAGTCACGTGTTTTTTGTTTTTAATTAATTTAGGGTAAGGGTTAGTTTGAAGTTAGGGTCAGAGATGTTTTATAGTAAAATTGTCTCTCTGACATTTTTTATTAATGCACCAAGATGGGTTTAGACTATCGTTTCTTGTATTTTTTGCGATTTTCACTTTTTTTCGCTGTTTTTTGTCTCTTCGGGCTGATCCGTGTCGATCAAAATAAACAATTCTATTGGCTTTAGGTCACGTAATGGACACGGCTTTAGAATCTTCCCCAGTATCACCATCAAAATTTTCACCCCCACGTGACATATGTAGTACAATCTGTCGATCGATATAAATATAATCAAAATGATCATATCAAATCTTTGTCGTAACGAAGGAGCAAAGGGGAAGAAAGGGGTTTTTAAATTTCAGGTAGAGTTACTATATAATAGATTGCTTTGAATATGTTAACCGATTTTAACTTTAAGAAAATTTTGATAAAAAAGTAAGGCGACAAGGTGAGGATTTTACAAGCACTGTACAATTCGAAAAGAGATCAGACTTTACGTTACAGTACAAGGTTTGTTAGAATTTCGGGCTGGCTTATACTGTATTACTTGTTTTTGAAATGTTAAATGATTCTCATATTTATATTATTTCGATTTTTCTACTAAAAAAAAAAAAAAAAGAAGGCAGACTGGGCATTTGCTTTGATCGATTCTTATATCAAGAAGAAAAAAAAGGAAATAGACGAATTAAATAAGAAGTTTCAGGAAGTTCCAGGTTAGTTTATGGTTAGCTTATATTCTTATATCTTTTTGCTTTTGATTGATTCTTATATATATGTATTAATTAGGTGGACCAGAGATAAGTTTTAGGAAGTTTTAGGTTAGTCTATGGTTAATTTATAAGTAGTTCCTATTCTTAAGTCATTTTATTTTTGATCGATTCTTATATATATATATATATAAATTAGGTGGACCGGGCGAAAAGTTTTAGAAAGTTTCAGGTTAGTCTATAATTAGCTTATATAGCTTATGTTATTATGTCATTTTGATTTAGATTGATCTTATATTAAAAAAAAAAAAAAAAGAAATAGGCGGACCGGGCATTTTGCTTTTGATTGATTCTTATATCAAAAAAAAAAAGTAGGTGGGCCAGGCATTTTGCTTTTCTTATATTAAAAAAAAAAGTAAGCGGATCAGGCATTTTCTTTGTGATTGATCCTTAAGGAACTAGGTGAATTAGATAAGAAGTTTCAGAAAATTTAAATTAGCTTATAATTTTATTATTTTTTTTAATCGATTCTTGTATATATATAAATTAGGTGTACCAGCAAAAAATTTTAAAAGTTTCAGGTAGTCCATAATTAGCTCATATTCTTATGCTATTTTGATTTAGATTGATCTTATAAAAAAACAAAAAAAAAAAAAAAAAAAATTAGGTTGACCATGCATTTTGCTTTGATCGATTCTTATAATAAAAAAAAGTAGGTTGGCCAGACATTTTGCTTATATCAAAAAAAAGAAGTGAGCGGACCAGGCATTTTCTGTGATCCATTATTATATCAAAAAGAAGAAAGCAGGCGAACTTGGTAAGAAGCTTCATGAAATTTCAAATTAGCTTATGTCATTTTGTTTTTGATCGATTCTTATATACATATAAATTAGGTGGACCGAGTGAAAAGTTTCAGAAAGTTTCAGGTTAGTTTAGTTAGCTTATTTTTATATCATTTGGTTTTTATCAATTCTTATATATATAAGTAGGTGGGCCAACTAAACTTAGTTCCACAATTTAGAAAAGGTTTTTTTTTTTAAAAAAAAAAAAAAAAATTCAGGTTAGTCTATATTTTAATTTGTTCTTGAAAATATTGATTCTTATTTCAAAATAATAATTATTTTACAAAAAATAACAACAAAGCAGCTTAATATAAGCAACGTAAATACTGAAATAATACAAGGAGTTAATCAAAACTTAACCAAGATAAAAAATGAATCCTTTTGCAACGATTGATGATAACAACAAAAAATCATGCAGTGGATGTGACAAAATTCTTCCTATTGAATCGTTTATTATTAATAAAAAAACTTACCAAACCTGCAATATATGCCGTGCTCAAAATAAACTTTATAAGCAAAATACGAATAATGAACAATCATTTGATACCTTAATTGATATTCATGAGCTTATTGATGTTATTTCACAAGAGTTTGATACAGTTGAAAATTCTGTTAACAATAAAGTGCAATCCAATAATAAAGAAAATCAAGATGATGTGACATTTACCTTTTCTTGCAGTGTTAATATTAATGAACTGGAAGGTAGTTCAAAAGAACAAGCCAGTCACATTATAGAAATTATATCTGATGTAGATGAATATAAGTGGATGTAAGTTTATAGTAAAAAATTTTTTAAGTGCATTTTCTTTAGTGCATTTTTTTCGCTTTGGGTATATACTTTAAAATTTTATGCAGATAGGTTGTATACTTATAAAGCGAAATATGTGCTTAGAGAGTATGCATTTATAGAGTATTTAATGATACTGATAAAGTTTTTTTACTTAATAATATATTAATTTTTTATATATTTTAAGATATCATAATTCATATAATTCGAAAAAGTCTGCATCGATAGTTTATTACTATTATTGCTCCCAAAGAGATTGTATGGTTGAGAAACCAAAAAAACATTTGGATCATAGCAAGCATCGGGATAGATTATCCATGGATCATTTTTCTTGTGGCGGATATATTAAGATTACCATTTATCAAGACCTTTTAATATCTGATATAGATATATGACATAAATTGCATTTAACACGACAAGATGTTTCAATTTCGCCTGAAATAAAGCAATTTATAAATGACAATATCGACTTACTTCATCGCGAAATTTATAAACAGCTTATTGAACGTAATTTAAATATTAATATACGACAAAAACAAATTTATTACTGGTGGAATGAGCTTGGTAAATGTCGATATAAACGTGATAGTGACTCTTTTTTTTCAGCTCAAAAATGGCTTGAAGAAAAATATTTTGAGATTGTATATAAGAATGAAACTCCAAAAGCTCTAGGGTTTTTAACTGAAACATGGAATATGATACAAAATTCGCAATTTAAAATATGTGAAGTTGGAGTTGATTCTACATGTAAGTAGATTTTATTAATTTATTAGTATTTATTACAAAGTTAAGCAATTTTAATTAACATTACTTATATATAATTTATTTTTTTTATTTGAAATTTAGACAATACGAATAATTTAAAGTTTGAATTGTATGTTGTGCAAGCTGAAATTGATGGAACCGGTTTCTTGTTAGCATACTTATTTTTAGAAAACAATGGCAATTGTGGTAATGGTGTTCGAACCGGCGTTATTATTGATTTTTTATTGCAATTAAAGATGCGTGGACTTGAGCCTGAATTTTTTATAACAGATAAAGACTTTTCGCAAATATCTGCTGCTAAATATGTCTGGAAGGATATTAAAATACAACTGTGCCTTTGGCACGTTAAAAGGGCTGTTGAAAATAGATTGGCGAATAATAAAAAATCTCAAACCATTAACTATAATGGTGTAATAGCACATCAATATTTTTCTTTTATTGATCCACTCTTTCGGCCAAATTTGAATGATAATAAAATTCAATTTTGCCCAAAGGAGTTGCGTTTAACTGTATGGAATATTATGAATAAGCATTTGCATCTTCACCTGCTTATTCCAACAAGTGATGGTCAATTTCTTTCTTCAACTATGATTTGGACTATGAGTGTACAAGAAATTTATAATTTTTGTCAACAACATTCTTTGTCATGGCTCTGGGTATATATGTGGAATGAATGGTACTGTCATGAGCGTTGGGCTTTGTGGTTTCGTAGTGCATGTGAAAATAAGCTTTCAATTTTTAAGACTAACATGTTTGTTGAAGCACACTGGAAAGTCTTGAAGCGGGATTTTTTGTACAAGTTTTTTCACCCACACTTAGATTTGGTTGTATTTATCATCATGACACAGATAATACCACATCAGCAAAGAAAATTTGAGCAGATGTTTATTGTTAAACGAGAATATGCTGAGTGGCGAAAAGCATTTAAAAAGGAATGGAAATATCTTGCAGATCAAACTATTAATAATGTATATTTAACAGATATTAATAAATGGATTTGCAACTATTCTGCATTCTTGATAAGTCGATTTCTTATTTGTAAGCATCTCATACAACAAAAGGGAGAAGTAACTGCACAATTTTTTAACCAAGTTCATTGTAGCCACCAGTATCCCTTTATTGATATTTCATCTGTACAAGTTAGTACTATTGAACAACCTATGGCATTAATAAGTAACATTGAACAATCAGAAATAAATTGTCAAAATGCCAATGAAGAAGATTCACAAGCATGTGAAGAATTGTATACCCGACTTATAACGGTAACTGAAAAAGCACTGGAAATTCTTAAGGATCAACAGGATAAAAAGAATTTTAAATGGGCAAAAACTATTAAAAAAAACTTTAATGCGATAGAACAAATGACATCTGAGATTGCTTCTTACAAACGTAGAAGAACGATGCCTCGTACATTTAAAGATCATTCACATAATACTTTATTTTTTAATTGATTACTAATAATCTATTTGATTTAAATATTGCTTGTTTTTATATTACTGTATTATGTTTATCTAGCTAAGTTGAATGTTATAATTTTTTATTATTAGCACTTGATATTAATCTTCTTGTTTTTTATTATTATTTGATGTTTTACATATATTCGAATAAATGCATATTGTCGATCAACTTATACATTGTACTACATATATCACGTGGGGGTGAAAATTTTGATGGCGATACTGGGGTAAATGGCTTTAGACGACCCCTAAATAAGGCAATATGCACGTAGATCACCCTTTATGGAAGTGATTTACGCCTTGCATGGCCAAATAAGGCAATAGTCACGTAGATCATAGTCCTTTTGTGGAAATGATCTACATCGCGCATAACTTAAAATCTCTAAAACGCTAAAACGCTAAAACGCTAATTCTCTAAAACGCTAAAACGTTAAAACACATATTATGTCACTTTTGAACCGAACGGTACACCGTATTTTATATTATTGTAAATAATTGCTTTATTATTCTCGGTAGATTACCTACATGTACATAGTTTATTAGTAATCCCCATCCATTCTGGTAACAATGCCAATTTTGGCAAATTTATCAATTTCTTTTGCACATTGTATAACTTATACTAAAATAGTACCGTAATGTGCCATATAAACGACCCGGGTCTGTTACATTCCACCAATTTTCAAACCTATATTTAGACCCGGGGTCTTTTGTATGGGTGTAGGTATAATAATTGAGGATTTATTCTATTTCTTTATTTTTTTCTTAGTATTTTCCTATTTGTATACTCGGGTCTCTTACATTTTACCAAATTTTATCCTATATTATAGACCCGGGTCTAATTCACGGGGGATCTTTTATATGGCACATTACGGTAATAGTGGGAGGCTTGGTGGCTTAGTACATGTGAAATCGCGTATACACCCAAATTATCGCGAATACGCGATTACA